ATGGCCGCTGAGCCTGTGCGTCCGGAGCCTGTGCTCCGCAACAGGAGAGGCCACACAAGTGAGAGGCCCGCGTACTGGAAAAAAAAAAAAAAAGTCATCCAGGGAACTCCCCAGCGGTCCAGTGGTTAGGACTCGGCGCTTTCACTGCTGAGGGCCTGTGTTCAATCCCTGGTGGGGGGACTAAGATCCCGAAAGCTGCTCGGCACAGCCTAAAAATAAAAACAAAAAATAAAAAGTAAAGAAGTCACCCAGCTTAAGTAGTTGTGGAAAATTGGGGGGCTGGGGGCTCTGTGCTTCATTTCAGTTCATTCTTTCAGGCTGTTTCCTGAACTGCCATTGCTCTTAATCCACCACAATTTTTGCCATGTTGCTGTTATTTACTTAACATTATTGTTAACCTGACTCCGTTCTAAAACATGGGTTACCAAACTGTGATCCACAGGCCAAAGGTGGCCTGTGGCCTGTTTTTGTAGATACAGTTTTATTGGCACACCTACACACCCATTTGTGTGCATATCACCCATGGCTGCCTTTGCTCTCAGGGGGCAGAGGTGAGTGATTAAAACAGCGATTCTGTGACCTGCAAAGCCAAAATATTTACTCATATAATAAGATGGAAACAAATGATACTAGAGGTGGCGCTAATGTTGCAATTAAAGCAGGGTAGGGTAGTTCTGATGGGAGTACCTTAGGAGGTGTGCATACTGCTTGTGGCTCCCTGTATTAGTTACCTAGTGCTGTGTAACAAGTGATCCCCAAATCTAGCAGCTTAAAACAACAGGGATCTGGATGTGGTTTCACTGGGTTCTCGGCTTCAGGGTCCGTTACAGCTGCAATTGAGATGTTGCCTGCGGCTGGGGTCTCACTGGAAGGCCCGACTGGGGTAGGATCCGTGTCAAACCCACCCACGTGGTTGTTGGCAGAATTCACTTACGGACCCTTAGCCAGAGGCCACACTTAGTTCCTTGCCTGCACGGACTGGCTTCATGAGGAGAGTCTGCTAGAAGTGACGGCCCATCACCGTTGCCGTGTTCCGCGGTTAGAAGCAAGCCACAGATCCCTCCCACGTTCCAGGGGAGGGGCTCACATGGGTGTGACAACCAGGAGGTTGGGGTCATGGGAGCCACCTGAGGGTCTACTTGCAGACCCCCCTGCACAGTGAGCTTTGCAAGGGTCCATGTGTTGATGAGTGTGTCCCCAGAACCTAAGACCAGCCAGGCACTTAGTAGGTGCTCAGTTAATGTATGTAGCCTGAGTGGGTATCTCCCCATTCATGGATGAGGAAATTGAGGCGCAGGGAGCCCCACACTTCTGCCCACTCTCTGCCACCCTCCCCTTTCCTCCACACTGCACTGGAATTGTTTCTTTAATTCTTATTTTCCCCGCAGGCTTTTACGCTTTGCTCTCCCACCCGTGTCTTGGGAACAGTTTGGCTCCTGGTCCCCAATTTTCTTGCAGGGGTTCCCAGGGCCGAGCAGGCACAGGGACAGCGCAGCAACACTTTGGGCAGGGGGTCTGTTGTGTGTGCTGACCCTTCAGGGCCTCAGCCTGCACGCCCCCTCGCTCCCTGCCCTGAGCCCGCCACCCCAAGATCCACACCCACTTTTTGCTCTCTGGAGCCTGCCCTTTCCCGCTCGCTGCCGACAGTCCCCGTCCCCCAGGAGTTCCATGTGTCATCTGGTCCTTGGGAGCTGTCAGGCCTCATCCGGAATCTCTTCCATCAACTCCCTTGGGGGCTGCCTGGCTGCCGGAGCACATCAGAGGGACTGGGGGGGGGTGGTCTCCCCTATGCTGGAAACCCCTCCCTCCTGAGCCTGGGCTTCACAAAGGAGACAAGGGGCTGCTCCTGCTTCCCAAGCTCTCACTGAGGGCCAAGCGCTGCCCCAAGCTCCCTCCATGCCAGGGCTCTGCCACCCATGCCGTCGGGCACATGCTCCCTTACCCACCGCCCCATTTTACAGATGGCAGGAGGCTCCTTGGCCAAGGGCTCAGAGTGGGTGAGGGGCTGGACCTGTCTTTGAAACTGCGAGGCTCCAAGGCTACACCTTCGATCACCACGCCCTATAGACTGGGAGCTTCCAGGGAATGGTCTGTGCTTCCCCCATCAGGCTGGGGCCCTGGAAGGCCAGTGTTAGACTGGGAGCCCTTGAAAGCAAGCACATATTTCCTGTGTCAGACTGGGTACTTCGAAGGTCGGTCTTACGCCTCCTCCATCAAGACTGGAAGCTCCTAAGGTCAGAGCCGCGCCTCTCCCTTCAGACTGGGAGCCTATTGACGCTTGCACACATCTCCTCCGTTAGACTGGGGGCTGCTGAGGGCAGGACCATGTCTCTCCCATCAGACTGTGAGCTGAAGGCAGGGCTGTGTCCAGGAGCTTCTGAGAGCAGAGGTCGTCTCTCCTATCAGACTAGGAGCTCCTAAATCAGGGCCATGTCTCCTCCATCAGATCCCACCGTGGGTCATCCCCACTTGGTCCCCTCCTGTCCTGGTGCCTTGGCTCCCATCCCCCCTGCAGACATGGGGATCCGTGAGTCGAGAGCAGGCGCAGCCCCCAGCCAGGGACCTCCTCTGGCTTCTTCCTGAGGTCCCACCCACCCTAAGCATATATTGAGCACTTACTGTATGCCATACAAGAAAATACTATTCAGGGGCTTCCCTGGTGGTGCAGTGGTTAAGAATCCGCCTGCCAATGCAGGGGACACGGGTTTGAGCCCTGGTCCGGGAAGATCCCACATGCCATGGAGTAACTAAGCCCGTGCACCACAAATACTGAGCCTGCGCTCTAGAGCCTGTGAGCCACAACTACTGAGCCCAAGTGCCGCAACTACTGAAGCCCATGCGCCTAGAGCCTGTGCTGCGCAACAAGAGAAGCCACCGCAATGAGAAGCCCGCGCACCACAACGAAGAGTAGCCCCCGCTCGCCGCAACTAGAGAAAGCCCGCACGCAGCAACGAAGACACAATGCAGCCAAAAATAAATAAGTAAAAAATAAATACATTTATTTAAAAAAAAAATTTTTTTTTAAGGCACCCAAAACAGTGCCAGGCAGTAAGCGCTCAACAGAGGTTAGCTGTTCCATTTCATAGATGGGAAAATAGGCCAGGTCACTTACTCAAGGTCAGGTGGGCTGGGATTCCAGAAACCCAGCGCTACCCGGGGGGAGACCTTGATGGAGCAGACCCTGATAGACCGTCGTTCAGACCCTGAATGCTGGGGAAAAAGAGGTCCCCTCAGCCCAGGACCCCCAGACCACTCACCTCCTTGCCTTTGTCCATGCAGTGCCTGCCTCCTGGCTTTGCTCTCTTGCTCCCTCCTCCCCCAATCAGAAAGGCAAAACCCAAGAGGTTACTGGCTATTCAAGGTCATACCACTGCAGGGCCGCCGGACCTCCAGCCTGGCTCTAACCTTCGTCCACCATCTCCCGCCCCTCCTCAAGCCCCCTCCCTGCTCCTGCAGTGGGAGTGGGGGCAGCCCCAGGAGAAGCCAGCTCAAAAGCGCAGGAAAGTCAAACGCCGTTTGATTCTGCCTCCAGGGCCTCTAATTGCTATTCCTGACACACACTGGAATTAGAAGGCCCTTGTCAAATATTTATACCTTAGACATCGCGTATTTATCTGACAGGGAGAGGACTCGGATTTGATGAGATCTGTCAACAGCCGGGTATTGCCTTGCGGCTGACAGAAAACAGGACAATTACCTGCCGTGCTCCCTGGGCAGTCCCCAGGGATGCTGCCTTGTCGCTGATCAGAGAGGGCGGGGTGGGGTGGGGGTCTGTGTGAGTGCTCTTGGGGAGGGAGGACCGAGTTCAACAGGTTCGTGTGGAGGCCAACTCAGCCAAAGCAGGAAAGAGGAGGGGAGGACATACGGACACCCCTGCTGCCGTGAGGGGCCTTGCCTCATCGGCTCTGGACCTCAGTTTTCCCATCTGGAAAATGGGGCTAACAGTGGAGGGGAGATGGAGAACCTCTGATTCCACAAAGAGACTAGATGGGGGTCGAATGCCATCCCAAGCCAGGCCATATCACAGCATCCAGGCAGAAATGAGCTGTGGGGTGTGTCTCCCCTCTCTGTGCCTCAGTTTCCCCATCAGGAAAAAAATGTCACATCCTCCTGAAGATCCTTCCTCCAGCTCTCTGAGTTTTTCCTATTAGAAACCCCATTTTTCAAATCAGGAAACCAAAGCGTGGCCTGCATAGACATTGCCCAGGCCCCACTATTCTTTGAGGGGGCGGAGTGGGGGAGAGCTCACAACAGTGTCAGCTCTGACTTGTGTCTGGTCCTGCCTCCCCTCCAAGCCACACCCACCCTAGGGGGCTTGGAGAAGGGAATCTGAGGTTCCATCCTTCCTGACTATCCCTCTCTTACTCTTTCTATTAGGGGTCAGTGAGCAAGCCCCCTTATGGGGAAAGAAAAAAAATGTGTTTGCTTTGGAACTGGTCAGCAGCTCCCTTTGCCTCTCTTACTCCCCCCAAATCCGTTAGTGTCCTCACCCCCTGACAGCTGCAGCTGCCAACAGGCAGTCAGGCCAGGCGAGACACCTCTCATTTCTGTCCCCCTCCCGGCCTCCACCCCCAAAAACCACAAAGGGACAGATGCTGAAGGCACACTCCAGGCACAGATACCATCTCCTTTCCCCTGGCCAGCTGCCCCAAACCCCTTCCCCCATCCTGCAATTAGTCCCCTGGGGAGAGGGGACGGAGAAGAGCCCTCTTGGGGGAGGGGAAGCCAGAACCCCGTCCCTTCCGTTGCAAACCCCCCTTCCTTCGGCTGCCTCAATATCCATTTTAGCCGGTGACCTCTGGAACAATTTCCACAACCCCAATCTCCTGGTCAGTTTCGCCGCCAGATCCTGGTTCAATTTCAACCCTCAATAGTGGTCACGCTCACCCCCTCTGCTGGTCAATTTCATCCCTGCTCGCGGTCAAGTCCAGCCCTCCATTTCCCGGCCAATTTCCACCTCCCCTCCCTCTCCCCCTTCCCCATCTCAACACCTCTCGCTCTCCGGAGCAAGGTCAGCCCCTGTGGGTTTCCCCCTCCCGTGCTCCTCGCTCGCTCCTGCCAGCCTCGGTCCTCCGGGTCACTGTCCAGCCGCCGCGGCCTCGGCCCCCGCGACTCCCGCCCCGCATCCCCCCTCCCTCCCCGGGCAGATGCTCCCCTCCCTCCCCAGAACAGCTGAAGGTCTCAGTCACCTCCGAGGGGAGCGCAGGGGGAGGGGAGGGGAGGGGGCGGGGAACCCTTGACGTCGCTGCCCGGGACCCGGCCCGGGGCTGGTAGGGGCTGGGGCGTCCGTCTGAGAGCCCCCTCCCCAAAGTCCCACCTCCCGGGCGCGCGCCGGCGGCTGCGGCTAAAGTCTTTCCGAAAGCGTCAAGGGGGATTGGAGATTTTATTTTCCTTTGTGCCCGCGACTGGGGCCGGATCGAGGCGGCCGGGCCGGGGGCCGCGGGATTGGGGCTCCCCCCGGAGCGGCGAGGAGCGCAACAAAGGATGCGCCGCACCGGGGTCACCGTCCCCGCGGCCCAACTTTGCGCGCGGCGCCCGAGTCCCCGGGGAGCCTGCCCGCTGCGCTGAGAACCCAGGCGTCCGGGCTGAGCCAGGGCTTGGGGGCGTCCGCAGGCGGCGCTTTCCCCGCCCCCGGCCCCCAGGAGGGGATCCCGGAGCTTCCCGGAGGCAACGGGTGGCCGAGCCGTGCAAGGAGAGCGCGCTGCCCGCGGAAACTCCGCGGATGCCCCTCGCTCTGGCTGGACGACCCCGCGCTCGGCGTTCAGGGCCCTACGGGGCGCCCCCTTCCCCCGCCGTCCTTCCAGAGCCGGGCTAAGGTGCGCTTTTGCTTCTCTTCCCCCTTCCTCCCTCCTCTGTCTCCTCCTTTTCCCCGCTTTTCCCCCTCCTCTGAGCCCAGCCAAGGGTCACACCTGATTTTCTCCTTCTCCCTTCCTCCCTTCCTTCTCCCCCTGCTCCTCCCTGGGGACTCTGCCGAGGAAGGGGGCCCAGAAGAGGGCATGTGGGTCCTCTTCTGACAGTGGCCAGGTTTGGGGTGACACGCGCTCAAATGGCCAAGTGGCTACGAGACTACCTGAGCTTTGGCGGTCGGAGGCCCCCTCCGCAGCCGCCCACCCCCGACTACACGGACAGCGACATCCTGCGGGCCTACCGGGAACAGAAGGATCTGGACTTTGAGGACCCCTATGAGGATGCAGATGGCCGCCTAGAGACCGACTCCGCGGGGCCCGGGGACTCCAAGGGCCCTGGAGACACCAAGTACGACTCTCCAAAGCACCGGCTCATCAAGGTGGAGGCAGTAGACATGGCCAGAGCCAAGGTCTTGCTGGGCAGCCCCCGGGAAGAGGTGCGTGGCTAAGGCCCAGGAGTGGCCCCAGGAGACTGGGTGGGGCGGCCAGGCCAGGTTTCCCCAGGACTTTGGGGAGCGTGTTTTGTGTGTTACCCCAGGGAAAGACCAGGGCACCAGCCAGACACTCCCCAATCCTCCATCCGCTTCGTGGAGTTTGATATCTGCCCCTTTTCACTGCACAGCGCTGGTTGTCCTCCTCCCTCTCTGACTGGCTTTGTGCCCCTGTCCTCCTGCTTCCTGATTCCCCCCTTCTGGATCCCTCCGCACAGCTTCCCTTCCTCTTAGCAGCTGAAGGGATCTTCCTTAAGCAGATCTGAGTGAGTCAGTTTCCTGCGGGCACTTAAACATCCTCACCACCACTCTCCACCCTTCCTCTCTTATTACTCCCATTTTACAGAAGTGGAAACTGAGGCTCACAGAAGAGAAGTGACTGGCCCAAGGTCACATGGCTTTAGCTTGTTAGAACTTGAACCCAAACCTTCCTCCAATGCCCATGCTTTTTTTTTTTTTCAGTACTTTTCCTAGAGGATCAGGGGGTCCACCCCAAACCCTCTGTGGAGAGACAGAGAAGCCTTCAAAGAGGGTTACGGTAGGCTGTGTCAGGTAGTGGTTAATGGCACAGAGAAAGGTAGGAGGAAGCAGGGACTCGGGGAAGCAGACAACCTAGGATCAAACGCTGCTTCTTATTTATCAGCTGTGTGACCCTGAGCAAGTCACTTGCCTTCTCTATGCCTTGGTTTCCTCATCTGTAAAATGGGGATAAGGTACTTACTGAGTGTTGGTACTACAAGTAAATATATATGAAGCCTTTAGAACAGTACTGGCACCTAATCATTAAAATGATTGAAGGAGGGAGGTAGGGATCTGTGTCGGGGAGAATCAGAACAGCACAGAGGAAGAGAGCAAGTGAAGCTCTATCTGCAAACACTCGTGGGTGGAAGAGAAAACTACTTGCTTGGAGGGGATGTATCAGATGACACAGAGACAGCGGGCAAGAGGTGTAGTATTGCCCAGCAGGGGTATTCAGAGCTAGGCTTGGTCCCCCTGAGCCCTTGACTCCCTCCCCTTCCTTTCTGTCTCCAGTTGGAGGTCGACACCGAGTACTCGGACCCCTTTGATGCCCAACCTCACCCGTCACTCCCAGATGACGGCTACATGGAGCCCTACGATGCCCAGCGAGTCATGAGCGGTGAGTGGGCAGAGCTTGGGGGAAGGTGACAGGGTCCCAGGTGGGAGTGGGAGCTGACCAGTGTCCTTGGCCTCCCAGAACTGCCATACAGGAGGGTGCAGCTGTATGACACTCCCTATGAGGAGCAGGACCAAGATCTGGGAGATGGGCCTCCTTCAGGGTGGAAACCTCGGCAGAGCCGGCTGCCCCAGGAGGATGAACGGCCAGCAGACGAGTATGACCAGCCCTGGGAGTGGAAGAAAGACCACATCTCCAAGGCGTTTGCAGGTGCTTCTCTGACCCTGACCTCTGAATGCCTGTGTCCCTCTATTTCCTGCTGTGGTCACATCCCCTGTTTCAACTTACAGAGTAAATCCCCATCACCTGTCACTTTGGTAGTTTGTTAATTCTCACTAAAGTGTGAATGACTGACAGTCATAATCTTCCCAGGAGAATCTGTAACTTCCTTGGAAACTGAAACCCCATTTATTTATTTATTTATTTATTTATTTATTTATTTATTTATGCTGCACCGCGTGGCTTGCGGGATTTTAGTTCCCCGACCAGGGATTGAACCCGGGCCCTCGGCAGTGAAAGTGCAGAGTCCTAACCACTGGACGGCCAGGGAATTCCCCTTTCAGAGTGCAATGGAACCTACTCATTTTGCTCAGTATAGTGCAGGAATAGGCTTTGATGTCAGACTAGATCTGGGTTTGTGTCACTTGGGCAAATCCCTTTATCTCCCTGAGTCTCAGTTCCCTTACCTGTAAAATGGGGATCATTCTAGTACCTATCGAATAGGGTACTTGTAAATTGAGTTCTAAAGTGCTCAATTACACAGGAGCCATTGTGGAAGAAGGTAGCATTTCCTGGAGTTGATTCGTAACTGAGTTGAGTAAGCTTGGATAAGTCTCTGAACCTCAGTTTCCTCTTCTGTAAAGAGAGAATAATAAGGTCAGCTTTAAGAAATAAAATAACTTGGACTTCCCTAGCGGACCAGTGTTTAAGACTTCGTTCTTCCATTGCAGGGGGCACGGGTTCGATCCCTGGTTGGGGAACTAAGATCCCACATGCTGCATGGTGCGGCCAAAAAATATATATATAGGAAAAAAATAACTTGGACCAGGAAGAGTTGTGCGTACCCAAATCTGCCCCAGAAGTTGTAGGACTGTGAGGGAAATTGGAGCTCAGTACCTCAGTCTACCTGTCTGTGTATTGAGGGTGGTTTTCTAGCTCTATGAGTTGGCCAAAATCAGGCAGAACTTCCCACCCACCCCTCTAGCCACACCCCCTGCTCTCTGATTTATCACTCAGGGAACTGCCCACCCTTCCATGCCACCAGATTCAAGAGTGACCACACCCCTTTCTTCTGAAGGCTAATTGGTTGCTCGTGTACCAATCCCGCCCCAGCCTTAAGCCCAACCCCTCCTCTTCTGGGTTCTGATAGGTTTCCCTAAGCTGGCACCGCCTTCCTACTGAAATTCCACTGGCTTGCCCCCACCCCACCCTCTTGAGATAGGCGGGACTTAACCATTTTCTCTTTAAACCTTCTCCAGTGCAGTTTGACGGTCCAGAGTGGGAAAGAACCTCAGGCTCAGCCAAGGAACTCAGGAGACTCCCGCCCAGAAGCCCCCAGCCTGCAGAGCGCGTGGACCCGGCCCTGCCTCTGGAAAAGCAGCCGTGAGTGGGGAAGTTGAAGATGGAGTTGAATCCCTCCCTGCCCCACACCAGCCACAGATTCCTCGGGCCAGGGGGGCTGGAGGAACTTTTCACTCATTCACTTCGTTCATTTCTTCAACTAATCTTCACTGGGTGACAGCGCCTGCTGTGGGCCAGACACCCAGCTCGGTGCAAAGCAGAATCAGGTGGCGTCTCCATTCCCTCCGGCGTCAGATTCTGGGTTCAAATCCCTTTTCTGTCTTTTGGCTGTGTGGCCTTGGGCAAGTCACTTAACCTCTCCAAACCTTGGGCTCAGCACCTCCAAGAGAGTGCCTGCCTCACACAGAATAAAAGGGGATTTCCTCCCTTCCCTTGAGTGGGGTTTATAAGCCTGAGGGCAAAGAGACGTCTTTCTCACCCCCAGGAGATCTTGTGGTGAAAGTGGGAGAAGCAGGATTTTGAAGGGGTCCCAACTTTAGGCTAGGGTGAAGCTCACAAGCTGGGAGAGTCTGGGTGTTCTCTGTGTCTCTCCAGTCTAGGAGCTTCTCAGGGAACTCCCCGAGCCCCCAGAGCCCAGCCCTGTGAGTACCAGGGTGTGTATCACAGTCATTCCCAAACCTCTTAGGTGGGCCGTACAGAACTGCCTGATTAACACAAGCACAGGGTATTTTCTTTCAATACAAACAGCTGTTTGGTGCTCATCTGTCTTTGACACTTTGTTCCCACTGCTAACTTCTCTGTGAGCACATAAAAGAAAAATATTATGTAACATGGTACAGGTGGGTTGGGGATACAGGATGTGGTGACGCTCATGAAAGTGATATGCAAGTGATTCGAGTTGGGGGATTAGGGAGGGGTTGAGGACACTTGGAGACCCAGCTGAGGGAGGCTGTAAAAATCAAGGTCGGGGTACGTGCTCAATTGGAAGGAGCAGCTCCAGGTTGACCTGGGTTCAGGTCCCTCCCAGGGAGAACCTTGTCTGCCTGAAAACCAGGCTCCTCTTGAGAAATCCAAGGGAATTTGTCTCACTTGTTTGCCTGGACGTCACAAGTCCTTTAAAGAGCTGTGCCTGCATCTGGCCCCAGGACGTGTTGGAAAGGGGGATTGCCCTTCAGGAGACCTCTGTCCCCACTCCCTAGGTGGTTTCACGGCCCGCTGAGCCGGGCAGATGCTGAGAACCTCCTGTCGCTCTGCAAGGAAGGCAGCTACCTCGTGCGGCTCAGCGAGACCAGCCCCCAAGACTGCTCCCTATCCCTCAGGTGAGACCGCAGGTCCCTGGAGGGACAGAGGGTCACAGGACTGCATGCTTTCCGGAGCAGAGGGGTGTGTCTCCAGCAGCCAGTGGGCGGGACTTCCAGGGCTGATGGACAGAGCTTTCAGGCCAGGGGGTGGGGCTTCTAGGCCAGAGGGCAGGGCTTCCAGAGAGGCCACTGGCTGGGTTCCGACTGAGAATGAACTCCCTGTCACTGGAGGTATGCAAGAAGATGGAGAGGAAGCCATACCATAGATCTAGGGCTTGAGTGAGATGGGGAACCAGGGACCCTAGACTGAGGGTAACTAGTGAGGAGCCCAGGACAGGTAGCACAAGGTGTCAAGAGGTGTGGAGAGAAAGTGCCTTCTGTGTTCCTGGGGAGGGACCTCCACCTGCTAGGAGCTCCAGCCTGTCTTGATAGGGGACAAGCTCAGAAGCCATCCCCGCAGTGTGGAACTAGCCAAGAGCTTGACGCCAAGTGGCTGTTAATCAGAAATATTAGGGGATGCCAGCGTCGGGCTCCTGGGGGCCATGAGGGGGTGGCTTTAGGGTTGGAGAGTGTGGGCGGGTCTGGAGTGCTGAGTACCCCCTCTGACTCCTGTCTCCAGGAGCAGCCAGGGCTTCCTGCATCTGAAGTTTGCTCGGATCCGAGAGAACCAGTTCGTGCTGGGTCAGCACAGTGGCCCCTTCCCCAGCGTGCCGGAGCTGGTGCTCCATTATAGCTCCCGCCCACTGCCCGTGCAGGGCGCTGAGCATCTGGCCCTGCTGTACCCCGTGGTCTCACAGACCCCCTGACTGAGCCTCAGCCCCCCGCCCTAGGCTGTGAGGACCCAGATCAGTGGCTGCAAATGGTGGAGGTCTTTCCAGTCCTGGAGAAGGCTGGATGGAGAGACCCCCCTGTCCCTCCAGGCTCTGGGTCTTCATCAGAGCCGCCCTGCTCAGCCTCCTTCTGGGTTCTACGGATCAGAATCGTGTCTCGAAGCCCTCCTCTGGCCTGGAAAATAAATAAGTTATTGTGTATTTCAAGTGTCCTTTCTGGGAGATGGGGATCTCAGCCCCTCAGAAGGAAGAGGGGAGGCAGACCCTTGGAGGGGGAAGAGCATCCCCAGCTCCTTGTTTTGGAGATGGAGCTGGGGTTGGAGCCTGAATGGCTCACAGGGAGGGAGCAGAATTCAGAGAGCTGGAGACAGGCAGGGAGAGAGAGGCATGGAGGCAGGTAAAAACCTGGAGACAGTGGATGGAGACCAGCAGATTAAAAAGATGGAGGAACGGAGGGGGCGAGGCTCTCAGGCCAACCCTGCCCCCACCCTGCCCCTCCTCCTTATCCGGGGCGGGCAGGCGGGCGGGCAAGGGCTGATGCTGCAGAAAGGACATCTGTCCCCATGGAAACAGCAGAAGTGGGGGAGGGGAGCCCTGCCCAGCTGGTGTCACTTCAAGGTGACAGTCGGGCAGGAGACCCCAGGGGCTGATAAATGCCAGGAAGCCCCTATCTCCCCCCGCACCCAACTCCAAGCCTGCCTGGGGGAGAGATACCAGCTGGGGAGGGGGTGCGTCCAGCTCCGGGCACTGTTTTGAAGCCAGGGGCATCACTTCTCTCTGCTAATTGGACATGTCTCTCCAAGGATAAGAGGCGGAAGGCTTGCGAGTTGTCAAAGAGCCGCCTCACCACAGTGGTCCTCTGAGACCCCCCTGATGACTCCTCAGATCTCTTTAGCACTCCCAAATTGTCACAAATTCTGGCTTTGGTTTCTTCATGAGCCTTTATTGGGTGTCCTTTGGGCAAGGGAGAAATCCAGCCTCATAGAAATGAGGAGGGGGCGTGTCTCAGGATGAACTGCTGGACTTCGCGATCCTCTTGGAATAAGTCACATCTTTACATAGCTGCTGGTGGGGGGGGTCCTCTGTGGGTCTCTGGGGGTTCTAGTTCATCTTCCCACTTCAAAGAATCCTCTTGGCCTGGGCCAGGAGGGACTCCAACTGCAGAGATGGGGTGACTGGGCCTGGGGCTGGAGGAAGATTTGGGAGCCAGAGGCCGCTTGGGGGTGGGGGGGCCAGGGGAAAGAGATCGAATAGAAGCTTTGGCCCTTCTGATTCTTGCTGGAGATGTCCAGCACCTTCCCCTACACAGGCCATGCCTCACTCTTCCTTGAGGCCCTCCGGGGCTGGTATAAGGCATTGATGTAGAGTGGATTCCCTGCATTGGAAGGAGCGGGGTATGACACCAAGAGGGGAGAATCACTTAAAAGAGCCTGGCCCTCTCCAGCCCACTTTCTGGAGGCTTTGTCTGTGCCTCTGAAAAACATGGGTGTAGGGGCCAGCCTTCCCCATCTATTCCCCTTCTCTGCCTCCCAGCCTCACCCTCGCTTCTTCCAAAAGGGGCAGGTATCAAAGTCAGAAGGGTCTGCGTTCCATCCTTGTCAAGAAGCTGCAGTTCCCGCCTCCGCCACGCGGGGGCGGGGTCGCCAGTGGACTGCGGTGTTCGTGGGAACCGTCCGCCCTCCGAGCGGCTACCTGAGCGGTTCCTTACCTGCGTCTCTGTTCCGGCAGCGGCGGCGGCCCCACGTCCAGGCGCCCAGAGCGAAAGCGGTCACGGCCACCGCCCCAGTCACCAGCAGTGCGAAGGAGAGCCCTGGGAAGGCGGTGGTGGTTTGTGGGCGGTCTGACTGGGGGCGGGGCACGGGGGCGGGGTGGGGCGGGGCTGGAGGAGGGACACGTGGGCGGAACTCACCTGAGAAGCTCCGGTTCAGTAGCCAGCCATCTGCCGAGAAGAAACCTACGTCTCAGGGCTCACCTTCGAGTCCAGCTTCCTGCACTTCAGGGTAAGAGCCCCTCTACTCCGTGTGGGACCTCAGGGTTCTTGCCCCTGCCATGCTGTGTGAGTTCAGGCACGGATTTGCTCTGAATCTGTTTCCTCTTTTGAAGAAAGGATACTAATCATTCCTATCTTGCTGGGTTATTGTGAAGTAACTGCCAACGGGATTTTCTCATCATGAGCTCCATCATCCCCACCATGAGCTGCACCACCCTTGTCATGAGCCCCATTGCTGCCATAATAGGCTCCACCGTTCCCATCACAAGCCTTATCATCCCCACCCTTTGTCCCATCACCCTGAGCATGAGCTCCATCATCCTCATTTTGAGCTCCACCATCTTCACCAGGAACTTTGCCAACACCACCATGTGCTCCATCATCCTGATCATGGGCTCTATCGTTCTCATGGCTCCTGTTTTTTGAGTGTCTACACTGTGTTAATCCCAAGAAAACTGAGCCTCAGAGAGCCTGAGTCACTTGCCTGGAGTCACACATCCAGGCAACAGCTGGGCCATGCTTTGAACAAAGGTGTTTCTCCCCTCAGCTTCCCTCTCCCTTCCCTGCTTCAGAAAGAAAGGAAAGGAAAAGAACCAAACCAAACCAAACAAACAAACAAACTTACACGGGCCTGAATTTTTGAGTCTTGCTGAATAATCAGTATCATAGACACAATAATAACCACTTATGTTTACTGAGGACTTAACTGTGTTCCAGACCCTGCAATAAACTCTTTAGATATAATCACTTTAAATTCACCTAATCTGATGAGGAAAGCACTATTGGATGAATTTTGATGACTAAGGAAACAGGCACAGAAGGGTCAAGTCACTTGCCCAAGGTCACACAGCAAGTGAATGGCAGAATGGGGATGTTATTTCAGGTCTGTAAAACTGACATGAACCCCAGCCAAAGGCGCCTTCTCCTGTGACTAAGACGAGACCCAGAGCCCCCAACCCCTTCATCTTGCAGGTTCTAAAGTTGGCAGTGGTCCCAGGGTTCCAAGCAGCTGTTCCGGGATGGGAAAGCCAGCTGTGGGGAGCTGGACCTGTGCCCACTTACTCTCGCTCCCTCACAGCTGCCAACAACTCACAGCCTGGTGCCTCTGCTACCCTGCCTCTGCTAATTGGTAATTGGCCCCCTTGTCACTGGAGGGGTGGGGGGCAGGCAGGACAGCCATAACACACCGCCCCGGAGGCAGGCAGTGGGTGGGTCCTGCCAGCTGGAGACAAATGGGCGTCTCTTGGGCCTGGGAGCCCGGGTGGTGCTTCATTCTGCCTGATACGGGCCAGGCATGTGCCCAAGGCCCTCGGGAACCGCCGATAGAGAGCAGGACCCCATTGGGTCAACCTAGGTCTCCGGCCCCTATGGTTTGGCCTATTATGGGGTGTCATGCAGAGTGGGGGAAACGCATGAGGTGGGCTCTGGAGAAAGCTGGCTGCATCCCCGGCTTGTGTGTGTGGTTGGATGTGTCTTGGCCCTTGCTGGGCCTCAGCTTTATCCTCTGTAAAGTGAGGCAGCTGGCTTAGCTGATCGGGAAAGTGGCTTCCAGCCTTAAGAGTCCATGGCTTTCTTTTTCGTTTATTTGTTTGGCCGCACCACACGGTTTGTGGGATCTTAGTTCCCCGACTCACCAGGGATCGAACCCGTGCCCCCTGCAGTGGAAGTGTGGAATCCTAACCCCTGGACCCCCAGGGAATTCCTGAGAGTCAATGGTTTTCAATTCTGGATTCTGGAATTCTAGAATTTTCTGCTCCTACACACTTTGTGATTGCAAAATTCTAAGAGTCTCTCTGGGACTCCCCTGGTGGTCCAGTGGTTAAGAATCTATCCTGCAATGCAGGAGACACCAGTTTGATCCCCTGTTCAGGGAGCTAGGATCCCACGGGTTGCAGGGCAACTAAGCCAATGTGCCACAACTAGAGAGCCTGAGTGCTGCAACTGGGACTTAACACGGCCAAAATGTAAATAAATACATATTTAGAAAAAAAAATTCTAAGAGTCTCTCTTTTTAAAGAAAGACCGGTTTCCCTGGTGGTGCAGTGGTTAAGAATTCACCTGCCAGTGCAGGGGACACAGGTTTGAGCCCTGGTCCGGGAAGATCCCACATGCCACAGAGCAACTAAGCCCATGTGCCACAACTACTGAGCCTGCGCTCTAGAGCCTGCAAGCCACAACTAGTGAGCCCTCTAGCCACAACTGCTGAAGCCCGCACGCCTAGAGCCCCTGCTCTGCAACAAGAGAAGCCACCACAATGAGAACCCCACACACTGCAACGAAGAGTAACCCCTGCTCAGGGCAACTGGAGAAAGCCTGTGCAAGCAACAGAGACCCAACACAGCCAAAAATTAATTAATTAATTAATTAATATTAAAAATAAGTAAATAAATAAAGTATTTAAGACTACAACTCTAAGATTCTAGAATCTTCCATTCTTTTATTTCAGTGTTTCTCAAGTTTTTTCATTATCACTCCTCTAAGTAGACGTTCTAAGAACCTTAATTTGTTCCCCGATGAAATGTTAATACCACAGACATTCTGTAACTCTCTTTATGGGCTGTCTGCATATCGATGCTTTATACATAAAAAGAGTAAGATTTTCTTTGCTCCCAAGAGCAAATTTTTTTGCGCAGGCCCAGTGGCCATGGCTTACGGGCCCAGCCGCTCCGCAGCATGTGGGATCTTCCCTGACTGGGGCACGAACCCGTGTCCCCTGCATCGGCAGGCAGACTCTCAACCACTGCACCACCAGGGAAGCCCCCACCAAGAACAAGTTTTTGCCTCCTTAGGAGTGACAGTCCCAAGCAGAACATATGCTGTAATTCTCAGAGCTTAGAATTTATGTCCCTAGGATTCTAGAACTGCAAGATTCTATCTTGTGGTTTGAGATTCTGGAATTGTCCTCGGTACAATAGAAATGTGTTGACCAAAAGACAAGTTCTAGATTGTTCACAGCAGCCTTATTCATAATAGCCAGAACCCAGAAGCTGCCCAAATGGTCATCAGTAGGAAATTGGAATGACTGGTGGTGATGGAGGCTGCTCTGCAGCAAGGATGAGCCACTGCTCCACGCACCAACATGGAGGAATCTTCCAGACATCATGTTGAGTGAAAGATGTTGGAGACAGAATATACTCTATGAGTCCATTTAAGTAAAATGTGAAACCAGTTAAAATAGATTTATGCTGTTAGAGGTCAGGATGGTGGGGTGGGCATGAGGATGGCATCTATGAGGAAGCAGATATGTGTGTTCAGCATGGTGCTGGGTACCCAAGTGTGTTCAGGTTGTGAGAATCCATTGCTGTGGTTTGTATACATCCCTCCAAAATTCATATGTTGAATCCTAACCCCCAATATGATGGTAACTGGAGGTCGGGGCCTTTGGGAGGTGATTAGATCATGAGGGTAGAGCCTTCATGAATGGGATCAGTGCTCTTATAAAAGGGACCCCAGGGGACTTCCCTGATGATCCAGTGGTTAAGACTCCACGCTTCCAGTGCAGGGGGCGCAAGTCTGATCCCTGGTTGGGGAACTAAAATGCCACATGCCGTGCGGCATGCCCCCCCAACAAAAGGACCCCAGAGAGCCCCCCGGCTTCTTCTTCCACGTGAGGACATAGCTAGAAGGTACAAGTTATGAAACATGAAGACGGTTCTCACCAGAACAAAACCTTGCTGGTGCTTTGATCTTGGATTTCCAGCCTCCAGAATTCTGAGAAATAAATCTGTGGTTTATTTAAAAACACTACCCAGTCTGTAGTGTTTTGTTATAGCAGTGGCCAAACAGACTAAGACATCCATTGAGCTGGCCACTTACAGTGTGTGCATTTCTCTGTTTGTAGGATGTACTTGAATAGCGTGTTTTATGGGATTGTTTTGAACCAGAATTCAGAATTATATATATTCAAGGGTTATTATAATTGTGATATCTTGGAAGAGGGCTCAGAAAATACGGCCCATTGCCTGTTTTTTTCAATAAAGTTTTATTGGCATCCAGGCCCGCCCATTCCTGTAGGTATGCCTCTGGTGACTTTCATGCTGCAACGGCAGAGTGGAGTCGTTGCAACAGAGGCTGTCTAGTTTACAAACTTCTTGCATCTGCAGACTTTCTGTTCCTAGGAATCTGGTTTGGAGAATTTATGTTTCTAGGAGTTTGAGATTCTACAGTTTTAAGATTTCTAGAAGTTCCAAGTCCCCAACTTGCCCGTACATGCTCTCATACCTGTCTCCACCAGGAGCTGTGTCCCACTGCCCTGGGCCTCCTCCAAATCAGGGATCTCCACGGTCGCCCAGCACATGTAGAGTCCACTGTCATTGAGGCTCACGTGGTCCAGCTGCAGGGTGAGATTGCCAGGCGGCTGCCAGGAGAGCCGTCCCCAAGGCCCGCAGACACCCACGGTGAGACTACCGTTGATGATGCGTGTCTGGCACAAGATGTCACCGTCCTTGGTCCATTCGACGTGTAGCCGCTCCCAGGCCTGGGCCTGCACCACCTGGCAGGCCAAGGTCACCTGGCTGTCCTGCCTCACCTTCAGCAATTTGGGTGCCTGCTGCACACTCAGGCCTGTGGTTCCTTGCAGGGCTGGGGGACAGAAGAGGTGAGTGAGGTGTGAGTGTGTGTGACTTACTGCATTAGCCAGCCCACAGGGATGAGGCAGTAAGAGTCTGAAAGCTTGCTGTCTGTGTGATCTATGCAAGGTTCTTGCTGCGGCTCAATGGCCTCATCTGTGAAATGAGAATAAGTCTCTTGGCACTTGCGAGATTTCAAGGTGGACTGTATGACATGTCAGGCTCTCAGCCACACAAATATTGCCTCGTGTGAGCCAGACCCTATCCTGGCCACTGTGGACACAGACACAGAGGTGACTAAGACAAAAATCCCTACTCTTGTGGAGCTGAGGGTCTCTGGGGAGAGAGAGACACTGGAAGTCGTGAAATGAGAATCCTGATGGAGGAAAGGAATGGGGAGTGGCAATAGGGGATAAGGATGAAGTGAGAGGATCTACTTATAGAGGATGGTCAGGGAAGGCCTCTCAGAGGAGGTGACATTTGAACAGGGATCTGAATGGTAAGACGTAGTCAGTCGTGGGAAGGAAGATATGCAGGAAGAGCACTCCAGACAGAGGGAACGGGCCGTGCAAAGGTCCTGAGGCTGGACCATGCCTGGTAAGTTGCAGGAACAGTGAGGAGGCCCTGTGGCTGTTGGAAAGCTAGCCGGCGAGAGGAAGTGGGATCCAAGAAGTCAGCAGGAGATGGCTTTTTCGAGGCCTGCAGGCCATTGGGGTGGGGTGGGGTGGAGGTACAGAGGTGGGGGTGGGGAAAGGGGAGCAGTTTAGTTTTTAACCTAAGTGTGATGGGAAACCAGGGGAGCAGGGAGGAAATGTGGTCCAATTTAAGTTTTAAAAAGATCACCGTGACTGCCATGGTGAGAACAGACTATGACACAGGGAGATCAGGTGAGGCCAGGAAATGAGGGTCCAGGAGACCAGTGATGTGGGCCAGACCCTGGAAAGAAGTGGTCATAGTCTGAATAGGTTTTGAAAGTTGCCCCCAGAAGGACTACAAGAAGAACTGAATTGAGAGAGAGGGAAAGA